CAGTTGTGACATCATGTGCAGAACAGGAAACTGAGTTTTACTTAGCTGTGAAGCTGAGGGCAGCATTACCTTTCCATGAATGTCAGCTGGGGGTGAGACAGCTTTCACATACAACACAGGAGGAATAGCACCCACAGGCTATGAAAGTTGCAGCAGAGGGAGCTTTCTGCTGCTCCATTTCTTTTTTTTCCAGCTTAGTAGTATGTAATATTCCAACGTGATACCAATTATTCCTGTGTTCTAGATTGTACACAAAAATATAACACGGAGTTTGCGATTTTAGGAAGTAAATCCAATGGTCCATGTACAAAGTGAGTCCAGTCAGCCACCGTGAGACCTCGGTGTGGTCGCAGAAACGACCAAAAATTGGCCTCGGTGCAAAGCAAACCGTGTTGTTTACCTTTTACTCCCTGCTATTCATCACAGTGTCAGCATTTCTCCTGGGATCTTTGGTCTCCGAATGTTAGAAGGGAGGCTGGTCATTTTTAAAGTCATTATAAAATTCGAAGAGGTTAACCCTTTGGTTCCCAGTATGCCGGCTGCTTTACACGAGGTGTCGTGGTTCCCACGGCACCGACTTGCAGAACCACGTTCGGCAGGAACGAGAGTAGAAAGAGATTCTGACTGCTTCACACTACAAGGCCAAACTCCAACATCATAGTGCAGGCAGAGTCCCATCAAGTGCTCAACAGAGCTGTTTTCAACCGCCCTCGTCTTCCTGCAAGCCAAATTAAGAAGAGAGTTTAAATAACGGGTATTTTCAGGGAAGCTGTGTTCCCACCGTCTTGTTTTCTTGCCTCTAGGTTGTCGTGATTCCTGATTTACACACCCTTTTGACCTCTTGTGGCCTCACTGAGCATCCTCTGAGTCTTGTTATCAAGTCCTTGAACCATCCCCACAAACCAAGACTGAACCGTGCACCTCTGCTCTCGCACGGAGCCCCGCGTCCCCCCCTGCAGACTGTGAGCACGCCTCGACAAGGCAGCTCTGCTGGCAGCAATGGCACTGCTCGTTGTCTTAAAGCCTCAGAGCACACCTTAAATCTATAAACTGGGACAGAACATCTTGAGGCCAGATCCCCTACGGTCCCTGCCTTGAAAGCCATGGGCAGAGTTACACAATTTCCGCTGAGATTGTCTCCCACGTTGGATGTGCGTGTGGGCATGAAGAGGAGAGAGCACTTGTAGTTCTCAGTCCCAGTTCCAGGTAGCCATCCTTTATTATTTGGTTTTGGCCGAGCCCCATCAAAACCAGTTTGCCTCGCAGCTGGGTTGGAGCCATTGCTTGAGCAATCCTGCTTTAGGACATGACCAGCTTAATCCTGGCCCCTAACTCACAAAATATTTATCTCCTGGTGCCTCAAAGGGGAGAATTCTTCAACTCTTATTTAAAGCTTTCTCCTCTCCTTCATCCCTTAACTCTTCATATCCTGTGACGTGTTAGTTCCCAGATCTGGCACAACAAACCCTAGCATTTTGATGAAGCTGGAGTCATATTATCTCCTCCTGTCAGAGGCATGCTGGGTTCTAGGTCACTGTTTTTTTCTGTTCAGCTATTACTTTTTCCATCCTGTTCTTAAACAGAGCCCGTTTACTAAGTAGGTTAGGTGTGTTCTCAGGTTTTTTTTTCAGAATGGACACTCTTAAAGGTTTTCTAATGGAGAGTCAGACCACAGTGCAGCAAATTTAAGTTTATTCCCTGTAGCTGTGCTTTTCCCAGTCATCTTTCGTAGGTCCTGGAAAATAGTGTATGACTCACCAACAGTCTGTGCTAGAAAAATAAAACTGATTTAGATAAAAGCATTCATACACAATCTCATACACAGAGAGAAATGACTTTCCTTCTTTGATCCAGTCACATACAATAATTATAACCTGTTATGCTGCACTATTCTTCACCCTTCATACAGAAGTCCTTCCAGGATGTGCAGCAGTATTCAGACAATGGAAGAACCACTCCACCTCCACAGAAGGTGAAAGCCCTTCTCCCTGCTCCTGCTGGCAGTGTGGCCCTCTCGCTCAAGCAGTTACAGGTCAGTAAGAGCCCTGGGGCAAAAGATTCCAGCTTCTAACCCCAAAGCCACAGCACTGGGTCTGTGTTCATGGCTGTTGGTCCCTCCTTGTCTGAGAAATGCTGAAGAACTCAGAACTAGTGCCCATATTTCCAAGGAAAGGCACAGAAAAGCAGCATTTCCCAGTAGCCAGTTTGCCCAGCCAAGAAACTGGAGAGGGTCAACATTCCAGCCAGCTATTCCTTTGTGGAGGAGATTCATGAACAGTGTCTGAAGTAGTGAAGGGGAAGAACGGACTCCGTTGCTGAAGGAAGTAACTCCCAAGTGAGAACATGAGACAAAGTCAGGATTTTACCTCCCTCTGCCAGGAGCATTAAGGAGTATTCCAGCTCTTTGAGGAGCTGCTCCGTTGAAGGCTTTCACTGGTCTGACTTTAAATTCACAAGCTGGGGTTCTTTCACCACAGATTTTCCTTGTATCTCACTTCTGGGAAGCTCTGCCTAACCTAATCATTCCTCTTTAAAATATTCTCCTGCTACTTTTGCAACTTCTAATACTTGTTCTCAGAGAATTCTCTTAAGCTTTTAATTTTTCCCTCTTTCAACACCTTGGAAACTACTCTTTTGTTGTCTCATAAAGCCAGCACAGTGCAGGTGGAAGGGTGGATTTTAGCTAAAAAGCTTTACATTTCTTTTGTGTCAAACTGGGCTGTCGCAGAGCTCAACACTAGCCCCCACATCATGTCAGTAGCCCAGAGGTTGTTTGTACAGTCCACCAGTTTCCGAGGCACTGTCTCAGTTTGGTAGGGCAAGCTTCAAGTGGGTGTAAAAGTGTCCCTCAGTGTAGCAACTACGTCAAGGCCAGGAGATTCCTTGTGGTGGCCCAGTACAGGACTGCTGTGGGATGACTCTGAGTCCCCATCCCTGGATGTGTTTAAGAATAGGGTGGATGAGCTACTTAGGGATATGGTTTAATGGGGATTAGGGACGGTTGGACTCGATGATCTCTAAGGTCTTTTCCAACCTAGAAATCTATGAATCTATGACTTTCTGCTCATCCTCTTACTTTCTGACAGTCTGTGGGTGCACGGGTGGTGCAGAGGAGGGATGAGAGGGCAGACCTTACTCAGGCAAACTACGCATGGTTCTCTCTCCCCCTCCATCTCCAAAAAAACATTCTTTGGGAAAAAAAAAAAAGCTTCCTCTGCTTTGAATTCCCTCCAGTTTGTCTATTTGGATAATAAAATACACAACTATTCTTCAAATAATAAGTGCCAGGGGAGGCGGGGAACACGCTGGACCACTGCTCCCGACTGGAGATGGCCGCAGCAGCACGGCTTGGAGAGCTCCCAAGCTCCCTGCTCTGCTCCCAGGGCACCTGCTGGAGGAGTTCATCTTGCCAGGGCTGCTGAGGTTCATCGAGGGAACTGAGAGCCGAGAGAAACGGCCATGCAGACACCCAGGACAGCAAAATGGAATGGGAGGAGGTGTGCTGGAGCTGGGATTCCCCTGCAACTGGTGGGGATGTGGCATCCAATTATTATTACCCAGCTGGCTTGAATTGAAACTGAATGTAATGAACTAAGGTTGAGACCCTGCCTACAAAAGGTGGGCCATTTCCTCCTGGCTGTGGAAGATGCAATGGCATCCTTGGAGCTGCAGCCCAGGCTGGTGAGCAACATCTGGTGATCCCGATGTGATACCCTCATGAGAGACCCTGAAGACCATGACCCCGCCACCAGAGCCCAAGCCCAGAGCCAAAAGAGCTGGAGCCAGAACCAGAAGTCCTTTGGTAAAGAAGGTAAAGCCACTACCCCAAAAAAGGGAAGCAAGCTGGAGTTGGAATGAATGAACTGGGTCTCTGCTCACTGTAAAGCCTTCTTAAAAACCAAAAAACTGTAAAACAAAAAGGGGGAATTAAGGCTATATCACCCAGCTGGCTTGTATTGGTAATCACCTAATTAAGGTTTAGACCCTGCCTACAAAAGGCAGGCCATTTCCTCCTGGCTGTGGAAGATGCAACCACATCCTTGGAGCTGCAGCCTGGGCTGGTGAGTAAGATCCCTCAAACTAGTCTGTTTTGCCCAGGGCCAGGGTGGGTGGATGGGTGATCCCTCCCCATTCTTATCTCGACCCTCAGGCCTTTTTGTTTCATTATTCTCCTCTGCCCCTCACTGAGCGAGCAACCTCGTGGTGGGTGAGCTGCTAGCGGGGCCAAACCATGACAGAGCCAAACCAAGATTTTACACTGCAATCCAGATAACAACCTGTTTCAGTTTGACTTGTGTTACATAGAGGTGATTTTGTCAGATTTTTACCCCAGCAGCCCTCAGAACAGCCTAGACTAATGTGTTTCTGAACTCAAAGAAGAAAACGTGTTTTGAGCTCTCATCTAGGGTAGAAGAAGACAGGAGAGGTGAAACATATGAACACCACTAAGTCAAACCTTTTACCAGTCCAGATATTTCCATAACTCTACAAGAATAAATTTATTATTATAATTAAGGGCTAATTTCAAGAATGTACAGTATTTACAGCCATTACAACTACACAGAAGATACTAATTAACAGGAGAACAAAGCAAAGGGAAGTCAGGAGAGAGCCAAGAGGAGGTTCCCAGGCTCTTTCCTATTGTACATAACTGAGGAGTGCATCCATTTCCTCCGATCCCTTGAGTAGCAAATGCCATTCAGGGCCCACCTAGATGTTCTCTTGACAACCTCTCTTTCCAGGGACTCTCATCTCTAGGACAAGGTTGGAGAGGTTCTATCTCGTTCCTCATAAATAGTCTATTGCAGCTTATAAAGGGAGCTCCTGGCAGCCAGTGGGCCTTGTCTCCCAGCTTAGCAGGAGCCAGTAGTGCCCCTGTTCCCACGGGTGTGGGAATTAGTCAAAAGCAGCCAGTCGTCTTAGACTACGTGAACATTTCTCAGAAGAGTAGAGTGCTTTCTGTAACACAAGAACAAGCCAAGCTCATCCCTCAGGCCAGTTTACTTCAGTTCAGGTATGAGCTGAGACCAGCTAATGTCGGTTCCTAAGTTTTCATCCTCAAGACCAGGAAAGCTGATATCCAGGAGGATTTTGCTCAGACTGTCATTCATGGTGTCCAGGATGAGCCCCTCCATGAGCGATCGGTTTTCGGTGAAGCCCGAGGCTGGCAGTTCCCCAGATGATTGCTTAGTGGACTCGTGAGTAAAAGCTGGAGAGCTGGTGAGGGGCACGTGCACCAGGTCACTGGATTCTGCGTTGAGCAGCTCCCGGGGGGACTCAAAGAGGGGATTCTTAAGGGGAGTGTTGTTAAAACCCAGCAAGTCCTGGTTGTCCTGGAGGGGCGTGAGCGGCAACTGAAGGGTTCTCACCGGACTGAAGTCCAGCTCGTGACTTCCCTTGGGTAAGGACGCAGGCTTCCAGGGGTCGAGGCCGCCTAATGGGGGGGTGGTAGTTGCTGAGACTTTGCTGGGAGTGGAAGAAACGGGCAATTTGCTGAATATCTCCTTGACCGGTGTTTTGAAGGGCCCCTCTTCCCCCTGGGAGCAGCTGAGCTGCGATACGTTCTCAAGAGGCTGGCTTTCCTGCAGCAAGGGCAGGTCTGCCTCTGGTCGGAAAGGGTCGAACCCACTGCCCTCTGGCAAAACCAGCACAGGC